GCTCTCTGCCCCCTGCTGTCGCCTCCACCTGCGCTGGGGCAAGAGCCGGGCTGACTCGGGCCAGGGCCACGCCAGCCGCTGTGTCCTTAGCGGGTGAACCCGGGGCTCGAGCTCTGCACCAGCCGCTCCGGAGGAGCGCGGGTTCTGCGGCGAGGCCTTGTCGCACTCGGAAAGCCGGCTCGCCCTAGACCGCCAGAACCGTCCACCCGGTCCCCCTGTCCCATCCGCGACTGCCACTGCACGGGTGAGAAATCGCCCATCGCCACTAAGCGCGCCTTGGCTGGCGACTGCAGGTGTATGCCTACGTCTGGAGTCCGAAACAGACCTGTCAGCTGCCTTGCTCCTGGGAGACCTGGGGCCGTGACTCAGACGTTTGGTCCTCTGCGAGGCTGCAAGAGTCTGAACGAGGCTACAAGTTCTAAACTAACGCTCATTACTCTGCAAGCCATTCTTTATTTACTGACTGCTAGCTAGCCTTCAAATTTGGAACCTGTGCTCGCCGAGGTGCCCGCCAGTATTCTATAATTTTCACAAAATTTTGCCCATCTACACTTAAAAATATATATGCAAAGCAAACCAGACTCAGAAACAGCTGGAAACCGGGGCTGGACACCGTGGTGGGAGCCCGGCTGCCAGGCTAAAGCAGGCCCCAGGAAGAGCCGCTCTTTCTCTCTGGAGCCAGAGTAGGGCCTGCTTTCTGCATCCAGGCCTGCGCGCCCCCAGCCGATTTTAGGCCAATCTACCCTCAGCACTTGAAGAGGGCGCTGGACCCAGGAGTCTGGGCCTGTCTTTTCCTGGAGAAGGGCAGCCAGGTCTGTGGAACGGAGCGGCGTCTCTGAGTGCCGAGTGCTGGAGATAGTCAGGTTCAGGGTTTCAGGTAACTCCACTGCCTTGCAGCGGACCAGCAATGGGTTAGGTGTTAGTGTATGCACTTTTACCGTTACCAAAACGCAATGCAAAACACTGAGGTAATTTTCAAACGTTTTACTAGGGAAAATAAAACAGAACAAGAAGGGAAGAGTCTTCTGTCTGCAGCGCCTGCTGGGCCATGGCTAAGTATCAATCACAATATTCACCACCGTTGGGGAGTTGGAGGCTGGGCCTGCACAGCGAATATACAAGAAGCTGGTGCATGGAAGACCAGTTCCAGGCATCAGAGAGAGAGGCAAGAGGTGGCCCCAGGCTCCACAATTCCCAGGCCCAGGAGGCCACAGGGACTGGCAGACTTCTGGACTGGGCTATTCTGATGCCAGTGTGTGACTCCAAGGGAATGCCAGGAGAAGGGAGGCCGCCTTGCAGTGGGTACTCACAGGGTATAGGCTGAGATGCGTGCCCCAAAGACTGTGCTATGCCCATGGTGACAGCCCATGGAGACAAGCTCAGGGTTGTAGAAGAGGCTCTGGGGACTTGCCCGTGTGATACTTGACCCATGTCAGAGTTAGCGGGGAGAGGCCTTGTGGGGAGATGACCGAAAGGAAACTGAGGCTGAGGTCAGCCAGGGAAGAGTGTGGATGAGAAGGTAGTTAACGGATAGCTTCCAAGGGGAGGTTGCAGAATGCAGAGCTAGGTGATGGGGACAAGCTGGGGCTTGGGGATGTGGCCGAGAACACACACACACACACACACACACACACACACACACACGCACAAGAGGCCTCAGTCCCAGAACGATGGCCAGGGAATCCATTCCTTTATTCCTACAACAAATAATGTATTGCTTTGACCCACAGCCCCGCAGACACACATCCCCGAGACACAGACGCAGACACACATACCCGAGAACACAGACACGCAGACACACATACCCGAGAACACAGACACAGACACACATACCCGAGAACACAGACACGCAGACACACATACCCGAGAACACAGACACAGACACACATACCCGAGAACACAGACACGCAGACACACATACCCGAGAACACAGACACAGACACACATACCCGAGAACACAGACACGCAGACACACATACCCGAGAACACAGACACAGACACACATACCCGAGAACACAGACACGCAGACACACATACCCGAGAACACAGACACAGACACACATACCCGAGAACACAGACACGCAGACACACATACCCGAGAACACAGACACAGACACACATACCCGAGAACACAGACACGCAGACACACATACCCGAGAACACAGACACGCAGACACACATACCCGAGAACACAGACACGCAGACACACACACAGATACACGTATTCAAGAACACAGACGCAGACACGCAGACACACAGACACACAGACACATACCCGAGACACAGATGCAGACATGCAGACACACAGACACAGACGCAGACACGCAGACACACATACCTGAGAACACAGACACACAGATACATGTATTCGAGAACACAGACGCAGACACGCAGACACACAGACACACACCCGAGACACAGATGCAGACATGCAGACACACATACCTGAGAACACAGATGCAGATACACGTATCCGAGAACACAGACACGGAGACACACAGACACACATACCCGAGAACACACACACACACACACACACACACACACACACGCACGCACAAGAGGCCTCAGTCCCAGAACGATGGCCAGGGAATCCATTCCTTTATTCCTACAACAAATAATGTATTGCTTTTAGAAGCAGTGTTTCCTTAATGTTCTCTGGGTGAGGGTCAGGAGGATCTGAAGCCAGGTTCGAGAGCAGGAGGACTCTCAAGCTGAGTTCTCGGGCTACCATGAGGAGTTGTTGAGAGCCAGCTGTGTGAACTCCTCACCCGTGTGGGCCTCCAGTCTTCAGTGGACAGTGAGGGTCAGGCTGTGTCAGGGGCTGGGGGCTTGCAGAGCAGGGAGCTAGCCTGACTCTGAGCTCTGTGGACCAGGGACTGAGGAATCTCACCACAGTCCTCCCTCCCTGGCAGCCTCCAAAGTGGGGCACCATCTCCCTCCCAGAAATAAAAAACCATACGAAAATGCCGATAATGCCGTAATTCTGCTGTGGAGAAAGACCTATCCTAGTCCTTTCTAAATTTTTTTTCTGTCCAGATTTGTAAAACAGATTCCCTTCAGAGCTTCGAAATTGCAGTTTTAGTTTTGCAGCATTTCTATTTTCCGCCTGGACCAAGTGTCGCCAGAAGGAGCTAGGCGGTGCCCACTCCAGGGACTGCTTGCCCACCTCTGGCAACAATTCTGCCGGACACTGTTCCTCCCCTTTCCTCTCGCAGAACGATTTCCTTTCCCTTTCGCGAATTCTTCCAGCTCAGTACATTTCTCAGACTTTCGGGTTCAGATACGACAAGTTTATTAGGAATTCGGTGGCTTACAGGAGAGTTCTGAGTGTGTGCGCGCGCGGATGTGGTAGAGTGAAGAGGCAGGAAGAGCAGGCCATAAAAAGAGGTGACCTACTCCTAGGACAGCGCATCCCGCTGTCATTTCTTAATTTGAACTTCTGCAAATGCTTTAAAAAAAAAAAAAAAGCGCCTGCCTTCCACGTTCCCAACGTCTAAATTAGTGAAACCAGATTGTCCTAATAAGACCTTTGGTTGGAAACACATGTCGTCATAAAAAGGTAGATGGAGAGTCAATTAGACACGCGCACGCACTCCCGAGTCGGTGTGAGCACTGGGCGCAGCTGTCCGGGCTGCGGCGCCGCGAATGCAGAGCAGCGGGCGGGAAATCGATTTGTCACAAAGGGAGAGGTGTAAACGCTGCGCGCAGGGATTGCCGGCTCAGTCCCCCAGCTCTCTCCTAGGCCCAGCTCCCGCTAGTTCCTTTGCCTGAGAAACGTCCAGAAGAGTGGGAACGTTTTCTAGGGCGCTCCCCAGTTGGAAATCGCATCAGAATAATATCCGTTCCCCTAGAGTCTCCGCATTTGCAGCAGCTATGGCGCCAAAGAATTTCTTCCGCGGCTCCACCCTGGGACTCTGGATTCTCTGCTGCCACTCTCAGTTTGGACCTTAAAGATCTCCTTTCAAGAGCGAAGCCAATAGAATACATCGTTATAAGGAGAGCCTGGAAAATTTTCTTTAGAGTGGGAGGTGCAATCCAAAATCCAGACAGGTCACTGAGTCCCCAAAGCTGACTGTCCAGGCGGGAGAAGAGCCATAGAATCCAGTTCATTCTACATGTAGAGACGGGGCTGGGTGGCCATTTTTCCTAAAATTTTGCAGAGATTGCAGTCCAGTGACTATGCCCCGCGTTGGGGCCTGAGTGCGGCTTGAGTCCGAAGCTTCTGCGAGGTGGACCTATGAAGTCCTAGGCTCCAGGCTGCTAGATTCCTGGGGCCCAGACCCCCCACCCCCAACTCTGGAGGCCAGCGCAGCATTGCCCCCCACCTCCCCCGTCTGTCCCTATCCCTGATGGAGCCCCTCTTCGGACT